TAGGGTGCATTTGGATTTGACACGGATTTAAGAAGGGAAAAGTGTCAAATAAGCTCCCCTACTGCTACGAAAATGTCAATGAAGGGCATCAACCCAAATATCACCCAATTAGACCCATAAACCAGTAAAAAAATCAGTGGCTTTTTAGTAGGTAACGTTTCCGGTTCCAGGTAAAAACATATGATGTGGCATTCAATTTTTGTATTTTTCCTTTTCTTTTTTCTATTTGTTTTTCCTTTTCTTTCCTTATTTTATTTCTTTTTCTCTTTCTTCCCCATCCCCTTTTCTTCTCCCGCATTCCCCCTCTCCCCTGTCCCGCACCTTTCTTTCTTCCCCATCCCCTTTTCTTCTCCCGCACCCCCCTCTCCCCTGTCGTGCGCCTTTCTTTCTTCCTTTCCCTTCTTTACCTTTCTTTCTTTCCTTCTTTATTTTGCAATCACCTGTCGGATCCGAGAGCCAGTCTTCTTACCCCAACCAACCTCCGACAATGCCATAGAAGTTGGGTCGACCGTGGGTCGTCTTCTCCGGCCAATTTCCGACAAAAGAGAGCTCCGGTCATCTTCACCGAACGTTGTCATCCTCTCTTACCAACGTTCCATCTCATGAAATGTTGATCTTCTCCATCGATTTATAATTTTATTTATTGTTCTTATTGTTCTTGTTTATCCGTGGATTGAATGGTATGTCAAAATTCAAAAATCAAAGAAAAGTGGGAAACATGGGTATCTTGGGGGTGTGATTAAGCCATAATGGGTGAGAATGTGAGATTAAGAATGAAAGCAAAAGAAAATTGGGAAACGGGAGGCAGCAACATACTAACCCACAGGGAGAAGAAAGAGCCAACGGAAAAGAGAGGAAGGAGGAAGGAAGAAGGAGAGAAGAAAGAAAAAGAAAGAAAAGGAAAAAACAGATCTGACCATTTTTTACAAGCTCACATGCTTAATTGGATGATATTTGAGTTGGTGGACTTAATTGACATTTTCATAATAGTAAGAGAGTTTATTTGACACTTTTCTCTTTTAAAAACAATAAAGGAGGTGCTATGTACTTTACCCTTTTGAAAAAGAAATTACTGCAAAATGGACAAAAGGATAAACTAGAAAAAGTAAAAAGTTAGTCATGTTCAATTTATGAAAGTGAACATGGACGGATTTTAAAAAATTGTGCATTGCAAAATGAAACAGAGAGTATTATGTAAGTTACTTTCATGGCTGAAAGGAAGAGAAATAATCATAACACTTCAACCCTCTGGTCCTAAATGAAATTGGCGTGATAAAAAAAGGAAGTGAGAACTTTATTTAGGACCGGAGGGAATATGTTATTTCCTTTAATGTAATACTATGTAAAAGGTTTGTTTTAAATGTGTTTAGCTAATTTAGCTTGTTCAATTTTGGTTCACTTTGTCACTTAGCTATCATATCCAAAATTAGCCCCCACCAGACGGGCTCCAATACATTTTTGTTGCACCTACAATGTTAACTACGTCAGGAATAACTCATACCTTCAATCCTCTTTCTATATAGATTCACCCTCCCTTCATTTTTTTTGGTGGTGAATGACAATGATTTTGAAACAAATGTTCTTACCGTCAGGAATAACTCACACCTTCAATCCCCTTTCTATATAGATTCCCTTCTTTTTATTTTGGTGGTTAGTTACAATGATTTTGGAACACGTAGGATATGTTTACTTTGCTGTTAAGAAGACCGTTAGCTTATTAAGAAGGCTGAAGTAAACAATTTCGGATGCTTAAAAGTATGCTTAATAAGCAGCAACGCCTCTTAAGCGGTGCTTAATAACCGATCGCTCCCCCCATGTATTATATAGCCGACGAGTTAAGCATTTCAATAATGACCCGTGTGCCCTTATTTTATTGCTTCTGACATTTTTATTTACAATTGTGTCCTTCCCTAACCCCTCCCATCATTTCCCATTCCTACGACACATTTCACTCTCCCCAGACCTCCTCTTCGAAAAAACAAACACATCTCTGAAGTCTCTCAATCGTTCTCACTTCGAAACCCTCAATTCTTCAATACCTGTGAAGCTCGAACAGTATATTATGTCGCAACAATCAACCCAGGTATATCGCACATTAATTTATGCAGATTTTGTAGGTTAGACTTTCAAAATTTTTTAGACAAATATCTAACCAAACCTAACTTGCTATGTTGAAACTATTTACTGGTCGATATAAACGACAGAGATTTCTTAATATTAATTTTGAACTCTTTTGTTTTGGGATTCTCACCACTGAAAATCCTCTCATCAAGCTATATTTCAGTACGTGTTTTTGACAAATCCCAGTCCAAACCATCGCTTGGGTCGCATAGCTAGAAACTGAAATGTTGTATGCCTGCAATTTCGGAAATGGATATCTAGTATGATTGTTTTCTGAACTGTATAGCTAAACTGAAACATGCCTTCAAGGTGTTTGATATTTTTCATGGAGGCTAGTAAAGTGGAGTTTAGTTAAACGCAATTCCCTTCTCACCTGCCATGTTAATTAGTTATATAATTAACAAATTTATTGAAGTAGAACTTATGTTACCACTGTTGCATTCTAATTATTCACTAATTCGTTACAGTATACCTTATTTATACATGTGCTATTAGTTAAATAATTTGAGTATATTAGTATGTTTTTTGTTTTGTTTAGCAGTAACCCTTATTTAGACAAATGAAGTTTAGAATTTTTTTGATTACCTATTTATACAAGCTAGAACACTGATCCAAAAATAAATTAATCATCTGAGAATGAATTCTATTTACAAGTAATAAAAATCCAATAACATGCTTGTCAAAGTGTAAGTGCAAATTAACAAACCAACTTTAGTCCTTTTATTCCATAAAAAATGCTTCTGTGAATAGTATTTACAATCTGTGTAAGTTTCAAAGTTTTAGATGATATCTTTCTTGGTTTATATTTTGTTTCTTGTGTTTGTTTTTGATAGATGGCACATGTTGCAAAAGGCACAAGAAGGAAATGGACTGCCCAAGAAGATCAAACTCTTGTTAATTGTATGGTCGAATTGCATACCCATGGCACACATAATGGAAAAAAGGAGGCTTTGAAGCAGGTTATTTAAGTGAGCTAGCAAAAATGATGTCACAGAAGTTGCCTCATTCTCACTTGGAAGCTAAACCACACATTGAATCTCGTATAAGAACATTGAAACAAGTTTGGCAAGAGTATTATGACTTGTTAAATGGCCGCACTGCCTCACTAAGTGGATTTGGATGGGATCCTATATCCAAAATGATCACTGCCTCTAATGAAGTGTGGGAAGCTATTGCTGAGGTAATTATATATATAGATATAGATATATTTTAGGTCTGGTTGTTACAAAATTATACTGATGCTTACTTAAAATGACCTTTTATGTCTTAAAACAAGTCTCTTTTTAGTTTGTCAGAACAATATCACAAAGAGATGGATTTATTATTTCTGCAATTTCCTGTGCTTTGAAGTTCAATGTTTGTTATGTTTTAGGTGGAATTGAAGCAAGGATAAAGTAAAATGGGTGGTGTTTAGATGGGGAGAAAATGATGCGTGAAATAGTAACCTTATTGGCATTGTGATAAGTAATTTCTTGTGTCTTCGAAGTAGATATTTCTGAAGTTTTGGGAATGTGGTTTGTACTTTGTATAGCGTAGTTTTCCTAGATATATATATATATATATCTGCGTTGGTATATTTTTATTAATGTGATTTTATACTTTCAGAGTAAATCTAAAGTTGGAGCTTTAAGACGAAAAAGTTTGTGGTACTATGAACAATTTTGTGCTATTTATTCTGTGGACCGCGCTACTGGAGCAACTGGGATGGAATGTGAAGACATGGTTCAAGAAAGTGAATTTGATCCAGCTTTTGAATCACAACACATGCAAGACGTAAATGATTCCTCCGTTTCTGGTGTTGCAAATAAAAAAACATCAAAGAGACCTGCAACAAGTGACAATGACACTCCACAGAGTAGTCTTAACTCTTCTACCTCCAATAGTCGTGGCAAGAAGAAGGGTAAGAGTAGTTCAAGCATTGACAGTTTCTCAACTTATGTAGAGGCGGCTTCTATTCGACTTGAAAAGGCGGGATTGGAAATGTCAAGGGTAGATACAGATATAGCAGATAAGACATCACGTCTCCCAATTGCTTTAAGCGCTCTCAAAGGCATGACTTTACCTATGAAATTTAAGATCATGAAGAAAATGGGAAAAAACCAAAGTGAGTTGTTGTACTTCTATGGTTTGCCAGATGAGGAAAAGATGGATTGGTGCAAGTGGTATTTAGAAGATGAATCATGATTTATTGCATCGATGGATGAAACATGGCGTTTTTTATATTTATGTTCTTAGAGTGACTATCCTTATGATACACTGTTATCAATTTCTATTTTGCATTTGAACCATAGTAGCAGTTCATTACGCCTGTTACCATTTGAGCGTGTTTATTGTCACTTTATTATTTTGTTATGATTTCGAACAAGGGTATTGTTTTTTGAGTTTGACAATATTGTTATGCAAGCACTAGATGTATGTAATTTTCCCATCAAGGACTTAGCTTTATACAAGACAGAATCTGTTTGGAGGCCAACTGTGTGTATGATGACAGTTGAATAATCACCACATTTTTGCTGTGTGTTTTGTGAATAATACTGTATGGTTAATCACCACATGTGAGAAGCTTTCAGTCACAAAATAAAATTATCTAACAAAACAAGTGATCAAAGTTTTGTGCTCTTATATAAGCACAACCAGAACCCATTAAGCTGTCATTCTAAATTGTTGCAAATGGTCTAATAATATCCAGGAACAAAATCAGCCAGTTTGGTATAGCTTTATTTGATTTCCAAGAAGATAATTTGTGCTCTTGGTGTAAGACTAAATTCCATATTATCCAAGCAGCTCTTGAAATACAAACATGATTTCACAAAACAATGATCCACACTAACGGAAAAGGAAACAGAAGGGATGTTGATATTAAATTGCAAACATCATTGTTCTATTATAGCAATAATTTAGAACATTTTACAACCAAAAATATTAAAAATACTTTTGAATTACAATGAAAAGCAAGCATTCATAGTAAGTTCCAGTCACATTACATTTTATGAAAACAAACAGAGAGACGGAATTATATTTATGATTGCCAAGCGGTGTACATTTCTGTTGCTAAATCTTCTCGAAATGCAGTCCATGCTTCAGTAGGGCGTAAATCAACTCCTCCCCAGTGGACTTCTGCATCTTCTTCTTCATCAACACCTTCCTGTTCTTCTATATCATCGTCCTCCATTGGATCAATATCATGTTCACGTCGAATGAAGTTATGTAATAGGGCACATGCCACTATTATCTTACAGGTCACACATATAGAATACCACGAGCCACTCCGTAAAATGGCCCATCGATTTTTAAGTAATCCAAATCCACGTTCGATCACATTCCTAGCTTGTGAATGCTTCATATTAAAATACTCATGCGCGTTATGCGGTTGACAATTGTTTTGCCATTCAGACAAATGATACATTTGTCCTCTATATGGCGCAAGAAACCCTTCACAGTTAGCATATCCCCCATCAACCAAGTAGTAACATCCTGTATAACAATGAAGATAAATTTAATACATTTATGTTAGTACTTTTTATTAATAATCAGCACTACATTTGGCCCCAATTTCTTTTTTTTTACATTATTAATGTTTATGATCCTCACAATTCAGTTTTCCTTCTCTCCAGGGGGCATTTGGCCCCAATTTCTTGGTTTTTTACATTATTTTAAAAAAGTATGAATGTTTACTGTATTATATATTATAATATACATACAATTATACCTTGTGGAACTCGAAACCTTCTTGTGAGGGCATCTCGCAAAACTCTACCATCTGCGGCTGATCCCTCCCACCCAGGAAACACATAGATGAATTGCATTTGTGGATTGCACACACCAAGTACATTTGTAGCAATCATTCCTTTTCGAGAACGAAAACGATTATGATCACTTGGTGATACATGCACATCAATATAAGTGCCATCTAGTGCACCCACACAATTCTGTAACATTATAGTGGTAAGTATTAAAAACATATATCAATGACTAGTTACATATTATAAATTCAATATAATAACTAAGATAAGAACCTGAAATATACTCCATCGGTCATCATTGCATTCCATTGTAATTGGTTGAGGCTTAGCATACAAAACAAGATGAAGTTGTAGTATAGCATGTAATACACTAGCAAAGCATCTACTTATCGTTCTCCCCGATCTTTGTATTCAGTAATTAATGTTCTATTTTTGTGATGATGCGATAATACAAGTAGGGAAATAGCTACTTGTTCTTCTACTATCATATGTCTCGTGGGTCTCAACCCACCCCTTACAACCAACATATCACACAATTTGAAAAATGCAGCACGACTCATTCGCAATTGCGAAATGCAATTTGCTTCGGGTCCATGTACTAATCTTTGAAAATACCCCTGCCTCTTAGAATGATTGTCTATTATGTAACGAATACTTTGTGTTCGCTTACGCCTTGTGAATAATACAACAAACATCCAAAATATGGTATTCATAAGACATGATTGAGCATTGAACCACCAATTTTGTGACTTCCTCTTTAAGATATGCTTTGGATTGGATGCATTACGCCACATTACAGAATCAGGTTGTGATGTTCCACTTCCCTGAGTTCCTTCCATTCTAATACATAGAGCAATATTACATGTGGTTACAATTTATTACTAATATTTGATACTAATCAATAGTATGCTATACATAAATGAATCTTGAAAATTATTATTTTGTTGTTCTGGTTTAATTAACTCTAACTAAAAATTACCAATAATCAACGAGCCACACACATACATATCAAAGCTGCCATTTAAGATAGCTTACGTGTGCAGCAGTTTATTGGATTTAAAAAGAAGAGTATGGGCTGTTGGTTATATCGGATTTTTTTTACAGAGTATTATAAGGAGTATTATTATCTATAGAACCAGCTTGTTCAATCTTATCTATAACCACTTGCTAATTATAAATTATATACGTAATAGCATATAGTATATATATAAACTGGAAATGGAGAAGATAGATGCAGCGGAGTAAGAAGAAAATATGCCTGATCGGTCAATCTGGAGAGAAAAAATGGAAGAAGAAAGCATATGTCTGATCGTCAATCTGGAGGTAGACAACACTCTGCTTGGAGAAGCGATTGAAATGCCCGGGGATAGTCATCAATTGTAATCGGCTAGGTTATTTATCTGATTGGGGGATATTTTTGACATTTTATACATAAGACATGTTTGAAGCCCAATGAAATTAAACGGACTTTTGATTAATCGGGCCTGAATTTTGTATGAAGTAAACATTGGCTTACTAAACACTGTTTACTAAACAACGGCTTACTAAGGCAAGGCTTACTAAACACCGTTTACTAAGAAATGAAGTAAACATATCCGTAGTCTTAATTATATTGTAACCTCTCAACTATCGAATCATAGGGACTTAGTAAGCTCCCTTGGTTTCAGGACAGTTCATATGTGGAGATAAATATTGCAACCAGAAAGATGGCCTAGCAAGCTATGAGGCTAGTATATGCCTGTTTTAAGCCAATTAATTAGTATAAATCATCATCACTCAACAACCATCTTGCTCACACATTGTCCAATTTTATATACATCCAAGCTTATTTTTTCCGTCAAAGGATCTCATCGATCTGTCTTTCAGGTGAACTTCTCATATGTTGAAGCAGGAGTGAACAAACAGGCCCTTGTGAAGTTGGTGGCTTGTGAGAGGTGATTCCCTTGCCATGTTATTTTTCGAATGAAATCTTCAAGGGTCTCATTTAGGAACCAGAACTAAAGAGGAAGGAAAATTGGAAGCACAGAATAATGGGAGTTTAATCAAAGCTAGATTCAAACTCAATAAATTTCTTTTGGACAACTGTTCAAACTCGATTAGTAGGGAGGGAAAAAAATATTTGCGAAAAAATAAAATATAGATCTAAATGCAATAAATTTATTTTAGACTTCTGCCTAAAGTTTAAACTCATTTGTGATTTTTTAGCAATCATATTTCATTTCTGTTTGCATTTCTTGTTTTACCTCTTGTGACTATAGCTAACTAGGTTTTCCTTCATTATGTTGAAGATGTGCTGAGAAGCTTCTTTATAAGAAACTGAAAGAGAAGGAACAAATGAAAGAAGACCAAGAAAGGAAAAGGTGCTATTGTCATTGGTATCTCTACAGTTTTGGATAAAATCCCATGTAGATCTCACACTTTTGACTGTTTCCAGGGAAAGATCTAGAAATGACGACCATGAGAGTCAGAGAGAATTTAAAAAAGGTTCGATTTTTGAACGCTTTTGAGTGGGTGTAGTTTGTTATAAAAAACAAAACTAAATTATGGAGTGTAATGAAGAAACTGAGTTATAATTCAAGAAAATTGTTAATCTGGGAATGAATAAAATGAACCAAGTAAGTTTTGTATAAGAACAAAAGCTTCCAATTTATAAATAAACTAAATAAAAAAGCTTCCAATTTAGTTTTTTCTTTTAATTTGACTAACAATGACTACTTTTGTAGGATCTAAGACTTCATCGTCAGTGAAGGACCATAATAATGCCGACAAGAGTGACGATGATAATTTTGATGAATATCTTGAGGGAATGTTTCTGTGAAACCACGGAATGTTATGATGTGATGTAAAATGGTTTTTATGCTCCATCAAATATCTATCTTGTATATCCATCATCCACATTTCTACTCGGTAAAGTGCGACAAGCTTCATCACTCTACTGAGCTTCATCAAGTCTTGCTTATTTAACGAATCTTAAAGCAGATAAGCGAGACAACAAAAAACTTTTAAAACTAAGGCGATGTATGTTTATACAAAGATGTTTTCCTTCAAATGACGTTTCATGGTTTTTTTTTGTGTTTAGTCGAAAAGGGAGAAATTCATTCCTGAAGTGAAAGGCTCTCAGTAATTAAAGTTCTTGAAAAGTTTGATTTTTTGTACACTTCAGAAGTATTCGCTTGGTCTCAGATTGAGCTTTTCACAGATAAGGGCTTTCATTTCTATTTTAGAAAATAATTAACCCTATTAAATAATAATAACTTAATAATCAAATATTAAAAATGATATTAATAATCAATGATCTTATTATATTGTACTCTTTTGTTCTATAAAAAATATGAAAATAATATGGACATATTACTAGTTCAAAATACTTTCGTCAATATATGAAAGTTATAAATTTTACATTAATATAATCAATAAAATCATTGTTCAAAGTTTAATTGATCAAGAAAGTCAATTTGGTCAAGTTTTATGTAATAAAGAGAAAATAATCATTAGCCTACTTTTCCAAAACATAATCGAATAACTTTATCTAAGTCTAAATATTTGTATCATTTTTAAATAAGAATGATATATGGAACCTGTACTCCCTCTAGTATGGAATCGGTCAGGAGTGGGGTAGGTCCACAATATATACTTCGTATTTTATTTTTAATTTATCTTGTGCAAATGATAAATTTTGTTACTTCAGCATTAGTTACATTTTCGTGTAGTCGCAACCAGCGGTGTAAGATGAGCGATATATTGGGCTGAATCAATATACTTTTTTGGAACTTTTTTATACATTTTTTACCTGAATAATTTAATTAAAATTGAACATCGGCTATATGAAACAATAATTATTTTTTTGAAAGGAAAAATTGGCATATTGATATTATATTAAATCAAGATGGTACAACGAGGAGAATGGTAAACAATAAAGTAATCATCCGACACTAACCTCCATCTAACCACACATAACCATAAGCTCATCGGCTCCCCTCACCCCTATATCAGACATAAAGTATTTCACCCTAAAATGAGTGAGACTAATCCCTGAAAATGTGAGAGCTTTGATGTTATTAGCGACTGAATCAGAATGATTGTCTCTCAACAGAAAACTAGCAACTAAAGTAAGCCAAACTAAGAACCTACCACCCTTATTATTTGACCTAATAAAAACAAAATAAAGATTAACAAACAAAACATAGTAACAATAAATAAACTTCAGATGGCAGAACAACAGAATCCATTCTTCAGATGTCGTTTTCCAGACCCTAGTCACGCAGTTTCACTGTAGCAGCGGTTCAGAAGGAGAACGAATCATCCACATATCATCTTCTTTCTCCACCATCTGAGACGGCCAAGACAAGCACGTCGATCCCCCAACCACCCGATTGGAGCCCAAATTCGCCCTTTCCACCGCATTGTTCCACCCAGATCAAACACAGCTGGAGCAGCTTCCATCTCAATCACCACCAAAGCTAAAATAGCCAAACCAAGCATCGGACAATCAGGCCTCACAACCGTAGCCGACAGAGGTCCACGACCACCTTTGAAACCACTGACGACTCCCATGGCTTCTTGCGATAGATGAAACCGCGTCACTAGGCTCCTCCTTGATCTGTTGGCCGCTAGTTGATGCAGGCCAGGCCTCCGCTACTTGAAACCCCCCCGCCGAAATTCACACTTGAACCTACTTGACCATCGGAACAGGGACGCTGTAGGGAACCCACCGCCGCCGTCCGCCAAAACTTCCCTAGACACCGCTGGAACTTCCGCTTTAGATCTTTAAGAGAAGGAAATCGCCGAGCACAGCCTCGAGATATCCACGATCTTGTTAATCCAGCAGAAGAAGGAGTTGATCCACCACCCTCCGCTGGATAGATCCGATTGCCAATGCCTAGGGTTCTAGTTGAAAGAGGCACTTATTGTACTCTATGTCCAACGTGAAATCTGAAACAATAAGTTTTTATTAAGCAACTATAATCTTTTTTTATACTATCTATGTAAAAACTTTTCCATTACTAAAACTAACAGGTACTAAAAATATCATTTGTATCTCAAAGACGAAATACACTATGTTGCTCTAGAGAGAATAGTTATGATTTATAGTCATCCGTGATTTGAAAGCACGCAAGGATATCATAAACAAACAAAAGCTTTAACCAAAACATGGTGATAAATTGGAGTTTTTTTCGAAATAATGCTAATTAATTAATTAATTACAAAAATAATGCTGAGTTAAAAGTATTTACCGATCTAGTGTTGGATTTAACCATGGTCGGGGTAAGTCGCCAAACGGTTGGGCGACTTATAAGTCGCCATCCGGTTTGGCGCCTTATAAATCGCCCAACCATTTGGCGACTTACCCCCTGCATCTGAACTAAGCAACCAGCTACTAGAAGCCAGGCACGACATGCTAGACAGGGAGGCACGACGTGCCTGGAGCTGTGCCTGACTCTAGATTTCCTAGTTGTTGGTCCCGTTCAAATTAGGAACAGTCTAGAGGGGGGGGGGGTGAATAGATGTTCCGGTTTTTCAACTTTTTCTCTAAGTCAGATTGACTTTCCAGAGAGGGTCTGAATCTGGTGACAAAGATGGTCAAGTTCTGATGGCAGAACTAGACCAGGCAGCGGATAAGTTTCTGTTCGGGTAGCCTCAAGAAAAATACTAAGGCAAAGTGCCTTTCTGATAACTCTGAAAGAAGATCTGCTGGACACAGAGTCCAACCTTAAGAGTTAAACAGTAAAACCTTAAGTGCGGAAATTAAAAGCTTAAAGTAAATGACACCGGGTTTTTTATAGTGGTTCAAGGAACAACGTGTTCCTCTAGTCCACTGTTCCACTAAGCTTGCAAAAACAACAGTTTACAACGCCTTAGTCCCTAGAGCTTAAGAAGCACTCCTCGTCTTCTTCAAGTCTAGTTGCCACCCGGGATGCAGTCCTGCTTTCTGATGGCTGGTCTCGTTTCACTGAGTCTCTTGAAGTATCCCCACTTCACTTACTCCAGCTAGTTTGAGACGTCCCTTCTTTTTCAAGAAGTGTTTGATTCAAAATCAGTTTTCTCCAACGTTGCTTCTTCACAAAGGATGTGTAGATGAGGCTTTCGAAGTGTTGAAGAACTGAGGAACTTTGTTTGTTTTCAGTTGAATGAAAGATGTGAAGGTATATCTTCCAACTGTAGCCTTTTCTTGTTAAGAATGAAGTTTGAATCTCAAGAAGGCTTTTTGAATATTTTGTTCGCAGTAGATGGGTTGAGCAAGCTTTTCTTAGCAAAGTTCTCAAGAATCTCTTCTTGTAGTTCTTCGAAGTGTATCTTTTATACTGGGAGCGGTCTTCCCGTTGGAGTGTAGAAAACAACTTCATTAAATGCTTGTACTGTTGATTTGACCGGTTGGTCCCTCGACTTGCTATTTTGGGGGCGAAAAGAACCCCGCTTGGTCAATCAGCAGCTTTAAATATCTCTTCGTACGTACCGCATTAAATGAGCATTAAATGCGTGTATAGTACAAGGTTCTGTCGAAAGACTCCTAGCCGTTAGGGAATTTCCCGTTAGTTTCACGGCCGTTGCAAGTACTTTCAGAATCTGCTGTGTTTGGCTAAGTCTGATGAGGCTCTCTGGTTCAAGCTCTGAAGTCCGCCTCTGTTGCCAACTCTGGTACCAACATTGATAACCAGTTCTGATGGCTTCTCTGGTGAGCAACTCTGGGAGCAACTCTGGTAGAAGCAAGGTGGATCTCTGGCATGTAGACTAAGCTAAAACTTACAAAAGAAATTTCTAAAGGGGTACTTTCAAATTCTAATTAACCTAGCATCATCAAAATCTAAATACATTTATTCCTTACAATTTCCCCCTTTTTGATGATGCCAAAACCCTTTAACTATTTCCAGAGAAGTGCCTTTCACCATAAAAAAATAAAGTTTAAAACTTTTCATTAGAATCTTGGTGGGCAACTTAGCATAGGAAAATTATTTTATTATTGATGATTCTACTATAAAAAAACTTAACATCTAATGATTATATGAGCTATTTCTATTTTCAAAATATTATAAAATTATTATTAATATAATTAAAATTCAAAGGAAATAAAAAGAAAACAAAAAGTAATGGAAAAATACCTAGGCGCCCGCCTAGGCGCTAGGCGGCCAGTCACTGCCCGACTAGCGCCTAACGCCTTTTAGAACACTGCTCAAGAACAAGGAGAACACAATACCTGAGGTGTGCTTGCACCTTGCTCAACATCACCTCGGCCAAACGGAAAGCACCTGACCAGAAATCGGTTGAAGAATGAAACCCGTCACATTCTGTCGCGCATCAGGGATCTCGCTCAGAGAATAGCCAACATGTGTACTTCATTTAGTGCACCGCCTCATTAACTACTATTATAAATACCCCCTTAGGGACATTTGTAAAGGGTTCAAATCTCATTTAATACAAACTCTCTCTCTAACTCTTAACTCTCCATTCTCTCTATAATACCACTAGTGTTTTACTCGGAATCTATCAATCATATACTCCATCCGTATTAAAGTGTGTGCTACATTTTTCATTTTGAGATGTATTTTAATTTTTGCCAGAATGTAAGTTTCCACATAAAAAAAATCAACTACCTACTTTCAACTTTTAATATTTTCTTTCATATTTTCCTATCATCTTTCATACATTTTATATAATATTCATTACTCCTCCTATTTTCCAGTTAAACATTGTGTCAAATATTATTGTACAAATCACTTTTGGTCTTACGAGTATCACATCAATTTCACAATTGGTCCACGTCTTTAACTTTGATCACCTTTAATACATGACTATTGTATATACACCCATATATGGTCCATCCGTCAATATTTACGGTGGTTAAAATCGCCGGAAAAGAACCACAAATTGTCAAAAAACATTAGTTAAGTACTAAAAAACGAACAAAGTAAAAGACGATGAACTAAATATGGAATTG